TAATATTATTTATGCTTATGCAGCAATTATTTCCCATAAATACCCCAATATGTTAGGCTAAGAATTCAATTGTAAAAGAACCTACAAAGCGACATTGAGTTGCTCAGTAAAATAAATTCAATACAATTAAAACATAAATGAATTGTTTCATTCGATACAGCGTCAGCTATTATTATGACCTGAATTACGACACACAGATAATCTTAGGCGTCAGTCCGTCCGTTATACTGAGGGGATTTAATTGTCCTATATCACTCCTATGAAGTAATGCTTAATCGGTGGTCCCGTAGGAGTGATTTTAGGAGGGACTAGGTTAGGTTTAGCGGGTGAAGGCTCACACTCCGGCTTTCGATGCATCCCCCTACTTAAAAAAAAAAATAATACAGAGTAAGTTAAATAAAAACTTGTAAAGTAGAAAACAGCAACGTTGCAACGGAAGTAGAGTGACACAGGTTAGTTTCAAGTGAAACACACAAGCCATTTCAATTATTGTATAATAATTTAAGAGTACCGTTAATGTCTTCGTGATCCAATGATAGGATCTTAACCCAATTGGTATGGTACCACCCTTGAGATACCACTTTTCCGATAAAACAACAATTATCGGTTCATGTGGTGCAAAGTTATGCGGTAACATACATAAAGAAAATATTTCGACGAATTGATAACATCCTCGTTTTTGAACCTGCATTTTTGCTTTTATATTAAACAGGTAGAATTTACGTGTATTTTGTTATTTATTCTAGTATCTAAAGTGTTAAAAATAGTATATTTTTTTTTAAATATCAGTAGGCGATGTGAAATATTGAGCTTGAGGCCGTTTTTAATGAAAAATTTTTGAGGAAAAGCATCAACAATTTTGAAAAAATGGTAGAAGTGTTAGCTATTTGAGAAATCACCACATTTCCTCATCAGACTTCTTTCAGTGGGATTCGATCCAATGGCCCCAGTTGAATTAGCCAGTTGCCTACGCACCGTGCTAAGTTCGCCTTGTAAATTCTTGTTGCCTAAAAGTTAAACGTTCTAAGTGCTAAGTGCACCTTGCAAATTCTTGTTGCTTTTTTCTACTTTTTCGATTGTGAAGCCAATTTGATCATGTGGTTGTGTTGGTTTTTTTTTTAATATTTCTATTTTTAGAATGTTTAACTTTTAGGTGCGCTCGTCCTTAAGTTATAAGGTCATAAAATAACAAAAACAAATAACTTAAGGACGAGCACACCTAAAAGTTAAACATTTTAAAAGTAGAATTATTAACAAAAGCCAACAAAACCAACAACCACATGATCAAGTTTAAATAGCACTATAATAGCTGCGCTTGATTGTAGCTGGCTTCACAAATGAAAAATTGGAAAAAAGCAACAAGAATTTACAAGGCGAACTTAGCACGGTGCGTAGGCAGCTGGCTGAGTCAGCTGGGGTCGTTGGGTCGAATCCCACTGAAAGAAGTATAATGAGGAAATGTGGTGGTTTCCGAAATAGCTATCACTTCTACATTGAGAAAAAAACGCGTTGTAAAAATGAAAACTTTTTATTTGATTACCGTTTAAAAATGTTCGTTGTAATCAAGTGAAAAGTGCTCAAATTTGAGTATTTCTATTTTACATACACTACGTATAATGGAAATATTCATCTCAAATACGCCCGTATTAAAATAAAGCAGTTTTCAATGCACGGATGGCGTTTTGCACGTCTCGGATGCTTTTTCATAAGTAACTAAGAAAGTATATGTATACAAGGCATCCCTGAAGGAAAGATTGGTCCAATTTCTCGAAAAATATAGTCGTAGGTACAGAAGGTTTGTATATAGACCAAAAATTTAAAGCAATGTAAAGAATGTAATGCATAAGGTATGAGTTTTGTTCTAAAATTGGTTACAATGTCATGCAGTAGCGGACAATGGGTATGATTAACGATTTACTGATATGTAGGCACTTAGTCAACAAATTTTCATGTGCGGCGCACTGAGTTCTGTTTTGGGAAAAAATGGACAAAATCGAATATCTCCCGATCCAAACTAGATAGAGACACGAATTAAACGGCATTATAAAATACTGGTGAATACGGGAAAATTATTCAGATTCTTCAAAAACAGTTTCTCGACCTAGAATTCCAAGATCAAAGTTCAACTAAAAAAAAAATTATATATAAAAGCAAATATCTAGCGATCGAAAATTAATAGAGACCTAAATGAAATAGTATTTTAAACTCCAAGTATTGCTGAAAAGAGCCAAACTGTTCGATTCGTCAAAAACAAATTCCTTATAGTGAATTCCGAGGTCAATGGTCAACTAAAAAAAAAATTTTTCTGATTTAAACATACCTAAATGTTTTTTTAACCCTCGTCCGGGCGCATATTCTTACAACGCTAACCGGGCGCAAAGGTACAATTGTACCTTCATATAGTTTTGATATGAATTTTTACTGGGAGTTTATTTTTTTTATAAAAACTGATAACATTTAATCATTACACGTTATTTTGAACATGTTTAGAAATTTTTTGTTATGACAATTGTTTAAAAAAAAAGTAAAAATAGAAACACAGTAGCCTGCATAAAATGCACTCCGAAAAATACACGAGTACACCACAACAATATGTACCCTCCATACATACATATGTATGTACTCAATATTTTTCATACTGGTGTGCCATATACACTGCAACCAGGGCTACCAACTTGGCTCAAACCGTGCCATTTTTGGCAATATTTTACATCAAATGGCACTTAATTTTTCAATTTGGCACAAAGTGCCAAAATGGCACTTTTGAAAAATAGCAATATTTCAAAATATTTTTGTGAAATACTTTGGGTGTACTTCTTTTTCTCAATTAAAATTTTCTAATGTCTAAAGGTTATTCAACTGGTTCATTTTATTATGGCATTGCACTTTTGTTTTAGAAATGTGGTTCTTTTTAGCTACATGGGAAGCGTTATAAAGGATAGCACCTTTTTTGGCACTTTTATTTTTCTATTTGGCTGCTTGGACCACCTCCTCGTCTGTAACCGTTGGTGCTTCCATTCCCTCCGGTTTCTCCGCTTGCGGTCGCCGACCTCCTGGCGTTTGCACAGGGAAGAGAGTTTGCACGACGTCTTTTAGGAGGGTGGGACAGGTTGGTGCCTGGCCTTTACCACCTTTTATTTTCTTCATGACCACCTTGTAGGCATCACCCCATGGGTTTTCGTCCACCTTTTCGCAGAGCTCCTTAAAGCAGCTGGTTTTGCTGCTTTTGATGGCTTTTTTAAGGTCACTTCGCTTCTTTTTGAAGGCTTCGAGCAGCACGGCATGTTCCATCGAGCCACGGTTCCTTTGACACAACCGTCTCGCCTTATGACACTCACCCCTTATGGCCTGGATTTTTTCGTTCCACCAGTACGCCGGCTGCCTGAGAGAGCCGTGTTTTCTCCTGCACATAGCACCGTCGCAGGCTTTACTGATGTGCCTCACCAGTGTTTCAGCCTGGAGCTCAGTGTTATCCTCAGTGGCCATTTCCTCATCCAGCACGAGTCTGAAGAGCTCTTCATCCAGAGTCTCTACCTTCCAGCCCCTCGTTTGCACCTTCCTGGTGATCGCCCTTTGTCGGCTCTGTGCACGATTCCCTAGCTCCATCATGATTGCCAGATGGTCACTGTGCGTATAGAGGTCCGACACCTTCCAGCTCGTTGAGCGCACCAAGGAACTACTAGCGAAAGTAATGTCAATCACCGAGCCTCGACCATTCTTCTCGAAGGTATTTTTGTTCCCCGAATTCAGAAGCACCGCATCAAGTACCGAAAACGCCTTTAGTAGTGCATCTCCCCGCCTGTTTGTGTGGACGCTACCCCATTCCACTGCCCATGCATTGAAGTCCCCTGCTATAACGTTCATTGTGGTGGTCCGGACTTCTTGAACCAAACTGTCTAGGATGTTCTCGTATTCATTTTGTGGGATACTTGGTGGTATGTAGCAGCTATAAAAGTTAAAACCGTCTACCTTCGCTCGTGTGTAGTAGCTTTTACCAAGCAGCGGCTTTTCTTGGAAGGCTTTTCCTCCGCATGTCCATATTGCAGCTTTGCCTGTGAGGTCCGATATCCATGCTCCACTGTCTATATTTTTATACTGCTCGCTGATTATTGCTATGTCCACCTTCTCCTCGTACACCGTTTGCCTGAGCAGCTCTTGCGCTGCTTCGCAGTGGTTGAGATTCAACTGCATGACTCTCATTTTCTTGATTTCTTGCACGCCTCCTGGTATAGCGGACACCTCCAACTACCTATCTGGTGCTCGGTGTTCTTTCTTCCCTGGTTCTTGCATGCTCTGCAGTGTGGCTTTTTGTCGCAGGCTTTCGCAAAGTGTCCATTTTCTCCACATTTTAGGCAGCATTGACTTCTGTCTTCCGCGTTTTTGCAGTCTCTCGCTATATGGCCATATTCCAGGCACCTGAAGCATTTTTTGGGGTTCGGTTTCTCCCTTACTCTGCACACAACCCATCCTATCTTTATTTTCTGCGCGTCAAGAAGTAATCTTGCCTCCTGCGCTGGGAGATTTACCACCGCGGTTTGTGTGCCCGCATAAGCCGCCCTGATGCTTTTTATCGCACTCTCGTTAAGGTGGTTTAGCTCCTTTATCTGGTTGCGGATGGCCTCGGCAATATTCTCCTTGGTGGTAATCTCGTCCAGGTCACGGATTTCTACCATCGTCTCGTGGGTTAGGGCTCTGATCTGTGCCTGGTCCCCTAGAAGCCTACCTATTTTGCTCTTGAGTTCGCCCGTGTCCTTCATTTGCGTCTCCTTAAGCTGCAGCAGTATTTCACCCTTCACCGTCTTTCTGATGCGTGATACGCTCTCGCCGAGTTTCTGCAGCGCCTCTTCCTTTTTTACGGTCCTTAGTATATCGCTGTAGGTCATATCTCCCGTCCGAGCTATAATGATGGCATCTGGCCGTGGTGGTGGTTTGTATGCCATCTTCTTTTTGCCATGTGACCTGCGTTGGACCTCTACCCATTTTCCTTCTTTCTCCACCTCCTTCTCCTTAATCTTGCCGGAATTTTCGTTTGGCGCCACCTTACTCTGTTTGGTTGCAGGGTTGGTGGTCACCTCCTCCTGCGTGGTTTTGTTTTTCTTGGGTGGCGTCCTACGCTTTAGTTGGCTTTCATCTCGGGGCCTTTTCGGGGTTTCAGCAGTCACCGGTATGTTGAAGATACTCCGTCTGCTTGCCTTTATTCTGGAGTACTCCTCCAGGGCACTCGCATGCAGCTTTGTTAGTGAGCTGAGTATCTCTCGCATGCTATTGTTTATTGAGCGTTGTGGCGGGCACATTGCCTCCGTCAGCCTCTTAATAGCATCTCCGAGCTCCGACATGTAGTCTCCGTTCTGTTTGGCTCCCTTCATTTGAGGCTCGCTGTCTTGTAGTGCTGGTGGCGACGATCTCGTTCGTACCGGCTTCTCCACGCTAAGCGCCTTTACAGGCGACCGAACTAGTCTTGACGCACGCTTGAACGGGTCAGTTTCTGCAGTCGGTGTTCCCTGGGACGGGTCTGCCCCAAGCACCTTGCAGCCCCTGCCGTCCAGGTTTTTCGCGCCGCTGCTGACTTCGTTTACATTGTTGTTGTTGTTGTTGTTTTTTCTCATTTTGGATTCCATTCTTTTGTTTTTGCCAGCGCATCGTGTGCAGGGGGCGGGCCGAAATAGACAGGAACGGGTATACCCTCGGGGACTATGCCCCTACCCCAGTTCCTTGAGGCCTGTCCTTCGCTTTACCGGTCCCGGAAAACACGGACGGACCGGCGCTCGCCCGGGGCAACGCGGTCTACTACACCTGCGTCCAATGCACACTCCCTGACCAGGGACCGAAGTGGCTGGTTACTGATACGCACCGCGGCTGACACCTCGGCAGAGCACGCTCACATCACCGTCTCTACCCCGCCAGCGGAGAAATCGCTGTAGGGATTTCGAGGGACTCCCAGTGCGCCGCAGCGCGTACCGGTCTGGATTGTTGTATCAGCCGCACCTAACATGGTGAACAAACGCTGACCAGGAAGCCGTCCAATATGGAAGCCGTCGCGCCTGGGTTTTTTTTTTGTAACTCATCATATGTATGATGAGGGGGACACATATTTCAAAGAGGCGGAGTCCACTCGCCACTATCACAGGAATTTCATCAGACTTGCTGGCTTTTATACCGCGTCCTCTATTCCTGCTGCTCATCGTCGGGGATTGCTTATTCGTTTAACCTTATTTCGCAACTAACCTGCTACTACAGGCCGTCCGGCTATCCGCGACCTGCCGACCCCCCCGGTAGCTTAGAGCCCAGCTA